CTCGTTTCCATGCACTACTGTGCTGTAAAGCCTTTACATTCCAGCCCCAGGCACCTCCCGCTTCTCTTCTCACCCTCACCTCACCCCAAGGTACCCAAACTCCACTCACACCAGACTCCTCACCCATCATCACACATAACATGGATCATCTCAGCCTGCGTGTTTGAGAATTATCCTCCTCCTGTGGAGAAGACCCATTCTCGCCACTCTTTAAGATCCGTTAACTGTCATTCTCGAGGTGAACATTTTTCTCATGCCCGGTGTGCTGGTAAACACTCAACAGCCTGTTTACCAGGGAAAATGGCCCTGGTATGTGACATTTGCAGATTCTCTTCCCTGCACCCGATTTCAGGCACCAACACGCAGCTCCTGAGCGAGGAGTTAGCCGAGACTTGCCCAGGGTCCTCTCACTGGCAGCACCTGCGGCTGCTTTCATGCTCTTGTTTGGCACAGTTCATTGTCAGCGGCATGGGCTCTTCCAAAGTGGAGACCACGCTCATTCATGTTTCAGTGGGCAGCGGTGGACATGTGGCAGGCTGCTTAGGATAGAACCCACAAGAACACTTGAGTGAATGATTTGGGTAGTAAATAGTATTCTATATAGCACTTTCCACACACCCCTCATTCAGTCAAAACTGAGGACTGTGTAGCAGCGGCTCGGGTGGGAACCGGGCCGCCGGAGGACAGAGCCCGCACCTGCAATGTGAGCAGACAGCCACGTGGAAAGAACCTCCCTTTGTCCCCCTGGGCCCTCGTCGCTGGAGCTGCCCCCGGTCTCCACTTCCTTCCAGAGACTGAGGTCTCCCGTAGGGTTGGGGCGCTCGCTCAGCAGTCCCTGTGGCATCCATACCTTTACAGCCTCCTGAGAAGTCAGCAAGCTGCCAAGTTAAGGTTGGGAAGGACACATGTTAAAAGCACATCTTTAAAGATCCCTTTGTACATTAGCCTCTTCTGCTCTGAGGAAAATTGAGAGAGCAGGGTTGCCTAGATTCTGGAAATACACCATAATACCCCAGGCATAAAGATATTAGAACCTAAAAGTTAAAGAAAGACAGAGGCCAAAAGAAAAAGGGATAAATATTTGAATAGAAAAACAAAATGAAATTTTAGTTAAAATTAATTGTTTTGTCCCAGCTGGATGGCTCAGTTGGTTGGAGTGTCCTCTTGTACATAAAAAAAGTTAAGGGTTCGATTCCCAGTCAAGGCACATACCTAGGTGTGGATTCAATCCCCTTTTGGGGTACAGAAACAACCAATCAGTTTTTCTCTCTCCTCTCTCTCTCTTTCTCTCCCTCCCTCCCTCTCCCTCCCCCTCTCCCTCTCCCTCTCCCCCCCCCTCTCCCTCTCCCTCTCTCTCCCTCTCCCTCTCCCTCTCCCTCTCCCTCTCCCTCTCCCTCTCCCTCTCCCTCTCTCTCTCTAAAACTCAATAAACATAGGTGAGATTTTTTTTTAAATATTTTTTTTAAAACATAGAAAATGCTGGCTCAGTGGATAGAGCGTCGGTCTGCTGACTGAAAGGTCCTGGGTTCGATTCCAGTCAGGGGCATGTACGTTGGTTGTGGGCGCATCCCCAGTGCAAGAGGCAGCTGGTTGATGATTCTCTTTCATCAATGTTTCTACTCTATCCCTCTCTCTTCCTCTCTGTAAAAAAAAATCAATAAAATGTATTTTTTTAAAAGAAAAAGAAAATGCTGCCATCCAGTTTTAGAATTTCAAGTTAAAATAAGTGATTATATTGTTATCGATAAAAAAAGTTACCATTTTTTTCATGTAAAAGCTGTTTTATGTGTCTTCATTATTTATTATACTAAATTTTAATTTGGGTGCTTACATTTTCACAGCTTAAACAGAGCAAGCACCATGAGTGTTGAATATGACGTTATCTTTGCATGTTACAGCAAATAAAATTCTAAGATAACATGCATTTTGCCTTATCTTTCTTTTGAATTATGTGCTGTGAGGATTTGCAGTGGGACATAAGAACTATGTGAAAAGGAGAGTTAATGAACTCAGGAAAGTAACCAAAATCAGGAATAGTGATACTAAATACATGAGTACCTTTGTATCTGAACTTCAATCTGTCCTGCTGTTGGTCAGCTCCGAAAGTTCAATCACTTATCAACTCAGATGTTTTATTTGAATATTTTAAGTGTTTGTGAGGTTATAAATGTGTGGTGTTAGTTTAATTCTGATTTGGTTATTTGGAAAATATTGAAGTGAATCTGAATATATTTGAGACATAGTTTTTAATGTCTTTTCTTACTGCTTGTGATTAAATTTGAGTAAATGTATTCTAATTTTATAAAAGGGGTAGGAAGACCTCTTACCTGGGTCCATGAGAAACCCAACGAGAGATAGCATTTCCTCAGGGACAGTGTGGCAGTGTAGAGAGCACCACCGTGAATATATAGAATAGAATGTCTGCCGTATGCACTCATTTGATTTGAAAAAATAAATAAGGGATGATGAACTGGCTGTCAGAATGTTCATTTTATATTTAAAATTTAATTTTTATTTGAGCATTTTCCGAGTATCTGTTCATACTGAGCTCAGAAGAATGGCTCTACATAATTTATTTCCCTTCCAACTTAGTGTCTTACTTTTCTTTTCTCTGGTTCTGGTTTTTACAAGTCTTTTAGTGAAAAATTTCTGTGAGATTATCCTTCTTACATATTTTATATATTTGTATACTTTATATCTTCCCCTTCCCCTTCTCATTTCTCTTAAATATGTACAGTTTATTTCTAGACACTTAACTACTCCTTCTTGCTGCTTTTCGTCTTGTGCTTCTAAATATAGTCATGATTTTTGGAGCTTTCCCATACTTTCCATTGTTTGTGTCTGTTGGATGGATTTTATGATCTGGCTACCCTGCTTGCTGTTGAGGGTCAGCCTCTTTTCCTCACTTAGCACATCATGACCTCTGCATGGACTGGGCCAGTCAGACTTGATGATATTAAATACAGAGTAGTAATAACCCATTAGGCTGAAAGCAGCACTTAACGGAATGACTGGAAAATACATATATAGGAAAACTGCCTTAAGGAGATGAGTTTCCATCCCAGTATTTTTTTTTTATCTTCTTCACAAATGTGCTTTAGTAGTTTCTTGATCATCGGTTATCTAAAAATCCAAGCCCAGACATTTCAGGCTTTTAGATGCTCTCCAGGACAGGACTTACTGTATAAAGAAACTTAATTACAAAACATAGACAACATACATTTCTGAAAACACAGAATCAAGTTGGAAGCAGGTTATCCTACACCCACCCCATTGTCCCGTCCAATGTTCCAGCCAATAGTGTGTAATTCTAGGACAAGCAGTGAATAAGAGCCCATGCTTCCCATTGATCAGAAGGGTTGGATAGGAGCATGGCTCTTCCCCATGGGGCTTCAAGCATACTCTACTCATGTGCAGGTAGAGTAGCTGGCAGAACTAGTAAGTCCTGCTGATCGACTATGCTGGGAGATAACTGCCATGTTGTGATTGCCACAGAGAAAAAGAAATGAGCAGAAATGCAGGCTGTGTGAGGGCTGTCAGGTGAGGGAAGGTGAGAGGAAGATGACTCACCCATACACATCTGGGCGCACCCAGGGCACCATTGATGGGTCTGCATTAGCATCACCTTTGACAAAGGAAGCTGCTCAGGAGGAGAAAGTGCCCCATTATGTTCTCAGTTTCTTGGGGTGGATAAAGGCCGAGGCCTTTCTGCAACTGTTTGCAAAATTCTGTGGGTGTCAGTGTGAGTTTTTTTGTTTTTTATAGAAATGTTAGGGTGGTGATTAATTGTTTGACCCTTTTCAAACAATGCAAAGGACTCTGCATTCTTGAGAGCCCTCTAAGGGAAACAGCAGAAATCTTTTCCTCCCGAAAAGGTCAGAAAGCTTGTTCTTTTCATAGCTTGAAAAGACCAACATTTACACCAATTATCTCCTATAGACTGCAGCCTTGGAACAAATTATATGGCTTAAACTGTTCATCGGGTTGGGAACATTTCTGAAATTATCTAAAAATATTTTGTTGCCTTTCTATTAGTGGCTTGTGTTAACACTTTCTACAAAGTCCCATGTAATGTATAAAAAGGATGTCTTGTCCCTCTTAACTCGGATTATAAAAATCTTAAAAGAGGTGTGTTTCTGTGTCTTGTACTTTTCCAAACACGCTCAGGAATGTAAGAAAACAAAAACAAAACAGATTCACTAAAGATCATATAATATTATTTTCAAATAATAATAAAAAAGAAAATGTTTATAATAACAATAACCTATGTAGACTGATTTTTTTTTTTTTTTAACGTTTGGAAAATCTAATCAGTGGTAAAACAGAACTATGTGTAACTTATTTACATAACACTCATATACAAACACTCATGTGCCACCATCTCACCCTGAATCCCACTCTGTAGTTTTCCACCTTTTTTTCTCTAGAACTTGCGAACCAACCAGAAATTGAAAAAGTATCAGGTGCAACGAACAATGTTTCCTGGCCATTAAGCAATAGAGATGATGGTCCAGGGAGCATAAGGAGTTGAGACTCGCTAGTTTGATCATGGCAAGGGAGAACTTGCAATGAAGTGGTTTCCTGATGCAGTCTTCCCAGCATGCAGCCAGGAAATGAGTAGAAGATCCTGGTGACTCACTTCATTCCTCCTGCCAATGCATGCTCTCTCTGTGTAAACAAAAGAGAAGGGAACTGATCTGGAAGAAAACAGTAGGAACCTGCCCCTTTGCTGATTTTTCACTTAGCGCTTCACCCACCTCCCCCTGGGAATCGCCAGAGTTTCTCTTTTGCATTCCGGGGACCTCTCAAGAATCATATCTAAATATTAAAGTCAGATACATACATTTTAAATTGATTTACAGATAAATCCTCTTACAGGGGTGGGAGTGGGGAAAGGACACTGGATTTGCTCACAAGATCTATTACGTATGAAAATTTGTAAAGTAATTGCAATAATATAAAAAGGCACTGACTGGTCTACTCTCTGTTTTAAACTGCAGGAGCCACAGCTGCGGCCCGGAAGGAGGTGATAAGGAACAAGATCCGAGCAATAGGCAAAATGGCCAGAGTGTTCTCGGTCCTCAGGTGGGATCGCTTTTCCTCTGTTTCTGTTTTGAAGTTGATTGTGTATCACTTAATATGTATTCTGGTAATGTAAATATGTTGCTAGAAGATATTTGCTTTACCATCATTTTTTTTTTAATGGAATTGTCCATTTCTCACTGTTTTAGTCAAATTGAGATACACTACATTATTTCCGCAGGGACAGCCTCCAAATAGACTGTTTCACATTTTAAAGCCTGTATTTGTTGCTGGACTTTTAAAACATATATTTCACAATAGGTTGAACATGTAGTAAAAGAAGAAAGCTATTATAGCCTTTTTTATTTTTCATTCTGGCTCTGTGGTAAAAGATGATTTTATTACGTGCATTTTACTAGACTTCTAGGAAATGAACACCAACCATAAAGTTTGTTCATGCGAGTCTATATTATTCTAATAAATCACTGAGAGAAAGAAATAGTTATTTAATGTTTCAATTCTCATGTCATAGTTATTTTTTAAATAGACCATGAATCATGTTATGAGTAAGCCTGGGTTTAGAAAACAAGCATAGTCTTAAAGAGAATTAGCTACATTTTTCTTTACTTAAATTCAGTTACCTATTCTTAGTTCATACAAAATATTATAACTCTATTTCTCTTCCAAAAATTCATTTAAGATATGGCATGTTTATATGTAAGGAGCAAATAGTCAGTTCACAATCACAAGTTAAAAAGGGTAAATAGGAAAATCTTGGGAAGTGGGCCATGTACATATTGTATAATTTCATAACCTAATTTTGCCTAATTTTTGCCTCAACTCTTTCACACACAGTAGTTACAATAGAGTCACTAAAGAGAGACTGGATGACTTGATGCCACAAGCCAGGGAACTGTGAGGAAAAGTATTAACGTGCTTTTTCAAAGACAGCAAGTCAAAGTCAGCACTAGCTTCGTGGTAGGCAGCCAGATCCTGGAAAGTCATGTTAAAGCTGAAGATAGAGCAGCGTTTCCCCCTCCAGCCTATGTGCTCTAATACTTTATACTGCTTGCTGAAGTTTTAGGATTCTTTTATTCATTCATTCCGTAATAAATACAATAAAACTTAAGGCATCAATTCGGATATCATGAAGAAAAACAAGAAAGCAATATAAAGGGAGAGCAAGTTGGGGGATGAGGCACTTATTTTCGCATGTGATCAACAAAGACCTTTCTGAGTAACCACACTGGAGCAAGTGTGGGATGACCTTCGTAGAGACAGGGAGTGAGAGGGTTCAGGGCCTAGGAAGAGCGAGTGCAAGGATTCTTAGAGAGAAGCAGAGGTCGGCAGTTTTGAGGACCAGCAAGGAGGCCTCTGTGGCTAGATGTCCTGTGGCAGCAAAAGGCTAGAAAGATCACACGCTCGGCTGACATTATGTATAAACACTTATTTGTCATCTCAGATTTACCAATACAGGCTTGCTTGCTTTTCCTATCTGAAATCTCTACGAGGAGAAGAAAAAAGTAGCTCCAGAATTTCCACATGAGAGTACATTTAGGGGAAAAAGGAGAAGCCTTTCTTAATATAAAAACATGCGTGACTATGTTAGTCTTTAAACCACTTGAAGGTATGAGGAGCAATGCTGCAAATCATAAGTAGGTCCTAAAATTGGGGAATCCCTCCTATCCCCTGCCTAAGATGTAACGTTATTGGTGCATAAGATGCAATCATTTCCAGCTGTGAAATGGTCCATTTGAGCCCAATGATGATCAGTGACTTGACTAAGATTACCCATGTTTTTTAAAATATATTTTATTGATTTTTTTACAGAGAGGAAGGGAGAGGGATAAATAGTTAGAAACATTGATGAGAGAGAAACATCGATCAGCTTCTACTGGGGATGTGCCCGCAACCAAGGTACATGCCCTTGACCAGAATTGAACCTGGGACCTTTCAGTCTGCAGGCTGATGCTCTATCCACTGAGCCAAACCGGTTACACCTACCCATATTGATAGAAAATTAAAACACGATGTATTTTATGGCTTTTTGTAATTAAACATCTCAGTAAACTTGTGGACTATAGGGGATCATCTCCAGAGAAAATTTAAGCTTAGAAAGTAAAGATTGAACATGAAATGTGTACTATATACTGAGTTAAGCAAAATGGATACCAAGTTGGAATGCCAGACATGTAGAAAATCAACAATGGAAGACAATAAAATGCTTACTGCACACAAGATGAGATGCTCTGCTGTGGAAAGGGACGGCAAGGAGTAGTTCCTGAAAGGAATGTCCGTAAAGAGGGTGACATTGAAGGAGGATAGGCTGAGTTCACTGGGTAGAGAGCTGTGGTGCAGGCATTCCTGGAAGCTGAGAAACTGTCAAAAACACAGCCACCAGCCACCGAGTCCCAAGAGCAGCCTTTTCTGAGGTCCTAGTTCAATGCCAGGTGCCATGCCCCAGGGGGTACGCACCTGACAGGAGTCTACACAGCGAACTTGCAGGTTGGGTTGACCTCAGCGGGGAAACGGAAACTGAGATAAGTAATGTGTCCAGACTCACATAGGGAGCAGCACTAATGACTCTGATGTGAAAGTGAACTACGTAGTTAGTGAATTCTAAGTACTGAAAAGACCTGGGTAGTAAGACTGCAGGCGAGTAAGGAATCTAGTAAAAAAAAAAAAAAAAAAAAAAAAAAAAAAAAAAAAAAGGCGGGCTGAAAATGGACTTAAGTCCAGATCCTTAATGGTCTGAATATCATGTAAAAGCATGAAAGTTGTATGTGCAGGAAATAAGTTATGGGATGGTTTTCATGGGATGAGGGACATGCTCTAACTAATGTGTAGATGGTGTAGATTAACGACAATGTGAAGGCTAGTTAGCAAGATGACCTATTAGTGTCAGGACATTTAAGAAACTATGAAAATAATCCACATCAGAGTAAAGGAGTAGAGATACAAAGGAATTTGTGAAGCTAGCAGATTACAGATTTAACGGATGAATGTGGAGATGGTGGTACACCTGTCCCTCACAGTCCTTACATTTCGCTAGTTTGCATCATTTTGGGGGGACCAGAAGCCTGTCTTTCGGCAGCCCCGGCAGGCGTGTTGCCCAGGATCCACCAATCACATGGACACATAAGATTTCCCTTTTGAAATGTGCGTCCTGAGGAAGCAGCAGGCGGGGGAGAGGTGATTCGTCTGTTGAATGTGGGATCCGAGGGGCCGGCAGGGGAGGAGCTTCTTTCTCAGTATTTGGGGGGCCAACCCCAGGGCATTAGCACAAGCTTGGTATTAACTCTAAACAGTGTGGCAGCATTTCGCAGAGTGGGGTCCCGCAGTACAGATGAGCCCTGGTACTTTTCCCCACTACCGAGCATTCCAGTCTAGCTCTCTGGGTCCGTGAGCTCCCTCATACCTTTTAATCCATCTCTGCACGTTAACATTCGCCAGAGTGGGTCCTGGTGTTTGCTGCAAGCACCCTGACCTGTGCAAAGGTGGCCGGGGAGAGGACATATCCCAAGACTGTTCCACAGAGGTACTAGCCGGTGTGATTGACAGCCTGAGGATGCCGTTGTCTAAGGAGGAGGAAGCATGCATCCGTTTAAATCTCCAACAGCTTTCCTGGGGAGAGCTGCGATCAGCTGCATGGGGCAGAAGGTGGTTAGGAGTTGTGCCCCAGAGCCTCAGAGAGCGGTGAGAAATGCAGGCATGGGAGTGTACACAGAGCGGAAGCACAGAGGGGAGGAGTTTGCCAAGGGCGGGAGGGAGGGAGGGAGGTGGGGCGGAAAGACAAGCATCCCCTGGAGGGGTGCCTTCGGAGGGAAATGTAATGAGCCACATCTGTGATGTTACGTTTTCCAGAAGCCGCAATTAAAATGCAAGTGGGAAGAAACAGGTGAAATCCATTGCAATAATACATCCTATATCCTTTCTATGTAATAGATTCAGAATGTTATGGCTTCAACATGTAGTCCACATACATCTTGTTAAAGAGAGATTTTACATTCTTATTTCTGTATCACGTCTTTGAAATCTGATGCGAACACTCCAGCTGCAGCACATCCCAGGTGATGTTTGGGCGGGGCTGAGGGGGGAGCAGTAAGAGCCCCCGCGGCTGGGGTGCTGCCACGTTAGAAAGCACAGGTCTGGACAGAGAGCAAGAGGTCAGCCACGGGGCTGGGGAGATGACCCGGGACGAAGAGAGGAACCCGGAAAGAAAATGAAGCAAACTGAGCACAGAACCTTCCAGAAGGGGAGCCTGGTTATGTTCCTTCCAGGGAGATCTCTGCAGCGATGGCTGCAACTGAGATATAGGGAAACTTCTAGAAAACGTTTTCTGTGTGGGGCAGTAGTGGTTGTGTCAGAAGGGTACAGGCAGATGAGGGCCTATGGGGATGGGATGAAATAGGTGAAGGGGAAGAAGAGGAAGAAGCTTCCAGTTATAGAATAAGTCATGGGATATAATGTACAGTGCAGAGAACATAGCCAACAACACTAGTGTTGGAACAACTTCGCATGGTGACGGATAGTCACCAGACTGACTGTAGTGGTCTTTCGTAAGATAGGTACACATTGATTTGTTACTCTGTACATGTGTAACTATTGTAATACTGTAAGTGAGCTATACTTCAATTTAAAAATAAGAAGACTGCCAAAGCCGGTTTGGCTCAGTGGTAGAGCGTCGGTCTGCGGACTGAAAGGTCCCAGGTTCGATTCCGGTCAAGGGCATGTACATTGGTTGCGGGCACATCCCCGGTAGGGGGTGTGCAAGAGGCAACTGGTCGATGTTTCTCTCTCATCGACGTTTCTAGCTCTCTATCTCTCTCTTCCTCTCTGTTAAAAATATATATATAAAAAATAAAAAAAAATAAAAAATAAGAAGACTATAAAGAGAGGAGAAAAACAGTTGAACGAGAAAGGGAAAGGAGGTAAGGAAACCAGATTTAAAAAATGAACGCACAGGAAAGAATATGTTCATTTACTTAGAGATACTCTCAATATTTCCAAAGCCACCTATTAGCATTCAGAGCATTTCTCTCTTTTATGGAACCTCTAGTGGTTTGCCAGCAGAAGCCTGAAAGGGTTGAAGCACTGCCTGAAAGTAAACAAGGATTAATTGACCATCTCAGACCTAATATTTTAAGTAAACTCTGCAGTGAAGGAGACAGAAATATAAAATGCTGCCATTCTCCCTTCTGTTTCCCTTTGACTCATTCCTTTAGGAACTGTGTTTTGAGTGCCGGCTGTGTACCAGGCGCTGCTCTGGTCTGGGCACTGCCGACGCTGCCGTGAGCAAAGCGGACAGAAACCCCTCCTCACAGGAGGACCCCCTAGCCAGGGTGGGAGGGAGTGAGCAGGGGACCCAAACCACCACCAAAAACCACCAGGAAACAAATGAGCTGAACGGTTTCAGATAAAAATAAAGTAGGCAAGGAGGAGAGGGAGTGGAGGGAGCCTGTTATTTTTTAGAGTGTTCTCAAGGAAGTCCTCACTTAGAGGGCGATGCTTGAGCAGCATCGAAAGCAGAGAGGCGGGGAGCCACGCAGTTGTCAGGGGGAGAGTGTGGCCAGGCAGGGGCAGAGCCCTCAGGTGGGAGGCGCTGGTTGCATCTGGAAGACACGCAGGGGTCCTCAAACTTTTTAAAGTGGGGGCCAGATCACAGTCCCTCAGAGAGCTGGAGGGCCGGACTATATGAACTACTAATTCCTACTGTAACACCTCGGCTGCGCTCACTGCCCAAAAAACCTGGCGGGCCGGATCAGACTCCTCTGCGGGCCGCATGTGGCCCGCGGGCCGTAGTTTGAAGACGCCTGCGTGACTAGGGGATGTGGATGCTAATAAGAAATAGGATGTAAGAGGTGGGTGAGGATGGGAGAATGTGGGTTGGGGGCAAGTTTTTGAGTGCTCTTGTCCAACATTTTAGAGACAGCACCTACATAGGTATTCCAAGGCTCTGCCTGGCTGATACACTGAGAATAGTTATGGGGGGTGGGGAGGTGGGCACCAGAGCATGACCAGCATGGAGCAAGGGTACTTCATAAAAGGCTGCTAAAACAATCCAGGTAAGAGTTGTTGGTGGCAAGCTAAAGAAATCCATTACAAAAGGGCACGTGTTATATGATTACATTTGTGTGAAATTCAGAAGCAAACCTATAGAGAGTTGCCTAGTGGTTATACAGGGCTGAAAGAGAGGGCAAGTGGCCTCTACTGCACAAAGGTTTCTTTTTGGAGGGCTGACAGTGTTGTAAAGTTGGCTACGGTGATGGTTTCACAGCTATAAATGTACTAAAACCGTTGATTGAATTGTATGTTTTAAATGAGCCAATTGTATGGTACGTTAATTATATCTCAGTGAGAGGAGGAGTATTGTGAGAAATGGTTAGGTACTTACTGGAAATACTTTGTGAATAGAGCCTTCAGATTTACTGATTGAGTGGACATGGCATGAGATAGGAAAAGGACATTAAATCTTTAAGGTTAACTAAAGGATGAAGAAAGATTATGGAAGAGGCAGGTTTGGGGCGGAGTTTAGGAATCCTGTGTGGGTCATCTTCAGCATTATAAAAATGTGAAGTGGGTAGCTGCAGATATTGTAAACATCTATAATAATAAAAGGGCAACATGCTAATTAGATCAGACAGCTGGATGACCTTTCGGACATCATTCCTGATGTCCTTCTGGATGAAGCTATGGCAGCAGGGGCTGAGGCAGAGGCAGTTAGGGGTGGTCAGGCAGGCAGGTGAAGAGTTAGAAGCAATCAGGAAGGCAGGCAAGCAAGCAGTTAGGGATGATCAGGCAGGCAGAGGGGTTAGGAGCTATCAGGTAGGCAGTCAGGTGAGCATTTAGGAGCCAGCAGTCCTGGATTGCGAGAAGTGCAGCCTGGGTTGAGGGCTCCCCTTCTGTGCAGAATTTCGTGCACCAGGCCTCTAGTAAGATATATAAGAAATATAAGCTTTTGGGATTATATAGGGTTACAGTGTCTGCTACATGGAAAAATAGGAGGTTATTCCTATTTCATGGTTATTTAATCATTATGATTAATTCAATTATAATGAAATAATGATGTACATAAACTATTTGGAAAACATTTGTCATAATGAGTAATAAAGCAATTTTATATTAGCAAAGCAGTGGGGAAAGAGGCTGCTGAAAAGGAAAGCTGAGAAATTTTACCGGTTGCAATATTGGCTAGTTGTCATTATATTGCATATTTACCATGTAATGTCAAAATTCCTCAGCCCACTGTATGTAACACCTAGCTTTCTGATACATACGTGTATTTTACTTTTTATCTCCCATAAACTCCTATATACTCCCTGGTTTTCTCTCCCAAATCAAATGAGCTTCACTCATTTTTCCTGATCCTGGGCTGAAAAACTCCCATCCACACTCCCCTGGGCTCATGTTCAGTATCTGCATCCCACCAGGGAAGCCCAGCAGCCACCGTGTGTTGTGATGCCCGCTTAATAATCAGAATTGTTTTCTGTATCTTCAATACTCAGAAGGGACTGAGCCATCCCAGTTGTATAATCATCATTTACATAACATTACTTCAATACAAATGCATAAAAATCTAGTATGTTTTAAGTTAAAAAAAGATCTACAGAGCCAAGATAGATATAAATGTGAGTTATTATATGCATTTTTTCATCAGTCTTTTCTCTCTCTCCAAAGAAAATTTATATGTGTAGCCCATGGACATGGGCAATAGGGTGGTGAAGACCTGTGCCGGGAGCGGGGAGGGGGGACTTAAAGACTGGGAGGAGAGGGAAAAGGAGGGGGGGAGGGGGATGGGAGACATCTGTAATACTATCAACAATAAAAAGTACATTTAAAAAAAACACAGAAAATGAGAGTTAATGTCCCCCCTCACCTTGTGCCTTTCCAGAGAGGAGAGCGAGAGTGTGCTGACGCTGAAAGGCCTGACGCCCACAGGCATGCTTCCCAGCGGCGTGCTCTCTGGAGGGAAGCAAACTCTGCAAAGCGGTAAGCAGCCCCTTCACTGTGGCCTGTCCGTGCCAGGAGCATTAGTCAGCCGTGTCATTAGAGCCCTGAGTTATTCACTCATTTAAGCTCTGTCTTATTCTCGGCTCAAAGAAGGTCTGAACCCATACATCCACGTGACCAATCATGTCCCACAAGACACCTCCCTCTTGCGTGGGAATGGAGTCTGGACCCACCCTGCATTCCCGAAGCGCTCACATGGGAACCATGTGCAGGCCTTGGGGTTTCCTACATGCACAATAGGTTTGCCCACTCTCCATCAGTTGCTAAAAACAAAGTTTTAATTACATTTTTACTAAATGTTCTGGTTGTCTATTTGATGGATGAAAAACACACACACACGCACACATACAAATATACGTACCAAAGTTTAGATTTCAGTGGAAAATGTAGGAATAATATAAAAAGTATAATTTCACTATCCATTTGAGTAGACATTGGGAGTTCAATATGTCTTTTACTTATACCCCCAAAACAGACTGAGTATAACCATGTTTTATTTCTGAAAAAGAACGAAACCATTTCCTTTAAAAGACCCAGAGAGTTTGTATTAAAATGTGTAGCTTTCTGGATGAGCGCTTTCCAATAACACTTCTGTGATGACGGAAATGTCTGTATCTGTACAGAAGTCACTGGCAACATGTGGCTGTTACAAGCTTAAATATAGCTAATACAACTGAGAAAGTGCTTTATTTTATCTAATTTTTATTAATTTGATTTACATAGTCATGTGGCTAGTGGCTACCCTACCAGATACACTCTTTTACTTTTGTTTTAGTATCTATTTTAACTAATATTATCATTAATGGAAATGTTGCAGTTAAATTAATCTTTAACATGAAAAAAGGAAAACAAAAATACCCTATAACATTTTCAAAACAATCTCAGCCTCTTGCTTATTTTCCTATATCTTGCCCTGAATCTTTTTGTGTGTGCGTTTGTGTTTTATTTTTCTATCTCTATCCCTCAAACTAGAAGATTCAGGTCTTCTGTGGTTACATTATTTAGACCCACCTCTCTGCATGGAGAGTAGTGTTCAACTTCAGGTATAAGGTACTATTAAATAATCACCCCCTAGCAGCAACACTTTCGTTTTCTTTATTTTCATAGTGATTTATTCCAAAATCAATATCCTTGAGTTTTTACAAAAGAGGACATTTCTAAATGATAGCAGGAAAATATATAGTATTAAGGAAATTCCCCCTTTACACCTAAAATTTTTCATCAACTTGTTTATTAAAACATAGCATGTTTCCCATCACAGTAAACATGCTTTCTGCACCATTCACATCAATGGATCACTTAAAAACTCAAAATGGACAACTACTTCATTGAAATCTGCATAGTTTTTGATAAGCACATTTTAAGGTACTGCAAGTGTATTATCAGAAACTATGATCATATTTGCTCTAAAAGGATACACTTAACAACAGTACATAGTTCTAATATGTTGGTGCTGGTATGGTTTCGCATATGTTGCTTTACTTTTAAACTTAAGTTATTTTAAGTTCTTACAATTGTTCATCTGATTTCCAGATTTTCACTGGTATTTAACTTAGATTTTTCAGTTACCTTTTCTGTTCATGTTATTTTAAAACCATTGTTTGTATTATTCTGTGTTGAACTCACATACACACAGGGGACATAAGCATTGGAATCTCAATAGTCCTGAGAATCTGAAAATTCAGTATATATTTTAAACCACATACATTAATACAATTTCAGAATCCATTTTCTGATGCCCTTCAATTGTCTGAAAGGAGAAATTATGTAAAGCTTCACTGTTTCTTTTTTGAGGTGGAATTTAGAATGCACTGTAAGTAGATTGTAGTGCACATTTGGCAGTTGCCCTAGATTTAAAACCTTAAATTATAAGGAATGTGCTCATTAAAGTCAAGGGGTAGAATTTTAATATAAATTTTTGAAAGTAAACATGGAGAAATTTTGCATTTTAGCACTTAATTAAGGAAATATCAACTATCCTTAGTAACTGAAAGATGCATACACCTGTACAGTGGGAATATAGACACTCACATTATTATAATACTGGTAAAGCAATTGGCCTTCCAAGTTTAGCTCCTGAAATATGCTGATTTGCAGTATTTAGGCTGCCTTTGCTTTACCGTGCTGATGGAATTATAGCTGCTATTGGCATGTTACCATTTGATGGTAACTTTTCAAGAATTTCATTCCCAGAAATGATAGCACGATAAGAAAAAAACGATTTTAAATCGGATTGCCTGGTAAAACAAGTCCAAAGTATACCATGGCCTTCCTTTTATCCCTCGCCATTCTAATCATGCTGGGTGTTGGTCTTTATAGAAACATATTCATTTTCAGCTCAAGACACATTGATTTTATTTTTTCTCTAAATCGATCCCCCTTTTCCATTGCAGTAGGGAAATGTGCTACTTAATATTAAATAGCACAAATTACCCCATTGACATTATGGCAACTGCTTCAAATTCTGCCTTATTTTTTTCTCCTAATATTTTAAAACTGTAACTCACCAAGCACAGCAGTGGTTTTATTGAAATTGGTGCCAGTCACAGGCTCATTTTAGATTGACCCTTATCAATTCAATCTGAGTAAAAGAAAACTTTCCTGCGTGTTTTCCTAAAGGGTCACTTTGTCATGTATTTAGTGAGCACAAACCAAAGCAGTTCACTCAGACGTGTGTATCCATCTTATAAATTAAACTTATTTTGTTGTGTTTTTTTTTCTTTCTTTTTAGCATTTCTGTTTTGTTGTCTGTGCCAGAATCCAGCACTTAACAGGAACATGAATTCTCTTAGTTCCCTTGATCGTCACTGATTTGTTCTTAGAGTTAAAAATCCTCTGCTCATTTTTCTCATTCATTTTGCACCCCCTTTCTTCTCTTCAGCTACTGTTGAGGCTATTGAGGCTGATGAAGGTAAATTGGCCAGTCCCCTTTCTGTTGTACCTGCAACAGATAAGGGCTCTGCTGGGTGTATTCATTTTTTATTTTCATTTTTTTATTTTTGCTGTAGCTTGTACAGAGTGTGTGGGTGTTGGGCTAACAGTTGTGGCTCAGTATTAACCAAAATGTTCTTGCTTTAAAGGGGAAAGTGTCCTTTTTATGGTTTGTTTGTTTGTTTTATTTTTCCCTTAAAGCTATGTTTGACTTTGTATACAATGAATCTAGGATAATCACAGAAAACAAAAGGATCATATATCTTGAACGATGTGGGGTGGGGGTTATGGCAGCTGTTTTGACAAATAACGCGCAAAACAATACTCGTTGAGCTGAACCATGTCCCTCCCTCAAATCACTTTCAGTCAGCACTGAAAAGGAGAGAATAAAAATAGCTTTATGAATTCTAGTCTTCAGAAATATCTAGCAAGGAAAAAAAAAAGTTCATTTGAATAGTGCTTTGTTGTAGTTCAACATTAATTTATGTCTCTAAACAATAATCTAACAAGAGACAGCTGTGTATGAGATAAACAGTTCTGATACTCTAACCAAATTTTAACCTACTGGAATTGGCAGTACAGTTAGCACCAGCAAGTATCTGTGGAAGTGGCAAAGTACCTAGCATAGCGGCTGTCACTCAATTGATTAACATTTATTGAGTGCCTGCTTTGCACCAGGCCCTCTGCTAGGTGCTGCAGGGGAAATCAAGTCATGTCTATCACCAACCATGTCCTGGCGCTGCTCAAGGACAGTAGACTTGATCCTTTAGCAATTAGTTTTGAAGTAAGTGCTTTGTGAGTATATAGTCATGAGAGAACTGCATATCAACATAGTCTTTAATAGGATACCTACCTACCTTTGGAAATTGTAAAAAAGAATAATTTGAAGTTCCCCTTTAAAACAAAATTCTTCAGTTGTATTTTGCTCTTGCAAAGATAACTCTTCGTTTTTCCCCCAAATGGTGTGTGCATCTGGCCCTTGGATGTGATGTTTCAAAAGTGCCACTTTACACTCTTTAATCTGTACATGATTTGGATGTAGCAGGGGAAATGATAGCAACGTAAGAGAAAATACAACTGCTTCCTAAATAGCAGTGCATAAGCTGCTATTTATGTGGGAATTCTCTATTCCTCTCGGCACATTCTAATCTGCAGTGTGCATTCTTGTGGATATAGTTTGGCTGTTTTCTGTGGTTTCTGTGACTCTGTGTTGTGTTAAGTACACTACCAATGTAAATTGCTAATACCCATTGTCTGACCAGCAACTACAGCAGAGCACATTCTTCCGTACCAGGCTAGACAGGGGTGATTAGCAACGGAGCCCCATTCTGACCATATTGCATGGTCCTAACGAGAGTTTGAATTTCTATGCTCCCATCTTATGGGCTTTTAAACCCAGAGATTCCACTTGTATCGCTGAAATTAATAAAATTAATCACGATGATGAACTTTCGATATTTACTAATTCTGATGAAATGGTATTCCTAGTGGTTTAGAAAAAGAACAGAGTACCACTTTGTGCCATTGTTTCGTCTCTCAAAATAATTGAGTTAGTTTTCAGGGTGGGTGCTCACTAGACAGCTCTATTATTCTGCAATTTATTACCGAATTAGAGAAGAATTAAGAAGCTTTGCTTTGGGCCTTGGTCTTTCCCCATTTCCCCATCTTCTTCCTCTCATAGTTGACTAATCACCATGATGCTAACCTTTAAAATGCAGAGGGGGGGAGCAAGCTATTTCTCATCGCTTAATGAGTTTAGAAGCAACTGGGTGTATCTTTTAAGAATCTCATCCATACTAATCAAAGGCACAAACTGCACATTTGTGTAAGAGTGGCTGGCAGCGTTTCAGCTTGAAACCACTTTCTTTCTCCCCCCTCCCCCCAAATAAGGTGGGAAGGATAAAGGTGCCATGAAATTGCCCTTAATCAGCCATGGAGACGCAGCTTAATTTGGCATTGGAGATTGGCCCTTTGGTACCTGGCTTGCACTTCCCAGAGAGTAAAGCAAACTGATGTCACTGGTTCCCCATTTATGTATTTGACTTTCAGCTAACTTGGTGCACCCACTGAAGAAATCCTTTAGTTTCTAGAACAGATATGCCTTACCTTAGTCTCCGGAGCACACTAAGGTTTCCAAAAAAAAAAAATCGGATATCAATGCCCCCCTTTGAAAACTCATGTTGTCATTGAATGGGGCCAAAATTAGTCCTATTTTTTTTTTTTCCTAAACATGAAAGGCACTTTCTCCATGTGATTCTTGAACTATCGCTCCTGTCTACATTGACCTACCAAGAAAGAGTCTTCTGTGACTTAGGCAGGAATGGGTACCAGATGAACATCAGTTTGACCTGTTCGCTGCTGAAGGGTAGAGAGCGTTTCCTACTTAGTGATGCGAGCTTGGTTTTTCCGAGTCCCTCTCACCTCTGCTCCCGTTCCACATGCTCCCAGCGCTGAGGGAGACACGGGAGCTTTTCATTTTATTGCTTCCATGCCATTATTGAGTTGATTGTCAAGGAAGCCTTTCTGGGATTCTGAGATGGCATGGAAATGCCCCAAGTTAATGCCTTTTATCTTTTAGCTTCTGCTCTAAGCTCTTTACCAGAATGTTAGATCCACCTACCTCTGTGACGCTATTGAACTTGCTGTTCCTAGCAGAATGGAACGGTAACAGCAGGGCAGTGTTCCGGTCAAAGTCAGGGCATTTGGCGCCATAACCCCATTAATGTGGCCCGTGGATACGCGCTGGCTCTAGAAACCTGGCCCTGGCAGAGCACTTTCCTCTTTCCATGTCCACCTCGGGTTTTGTTTATGTAAACTCTCCTGAAGAAAAGAGACGTGCTTCCATCTCACTAACTTGAAGAGGACGCTTTGGTTGGCAAGAGACATTGGCTGTTTCCCAACCCTTGGTTACCCGCGGGGATGGTAAGGAGCTCGTTGTGTTGTGCTCAGATCCCATCACTGTTCTCTACTAAAGGATCCCCATCTCTCCCTGCGAAATCTCTAACACCACCCGATGCAAGAGTGGGGCCCCTGGTCGTCCTCTGGCTAACCCAGTTTCTCTTTTTTTCTTAATGATTTTCTGTTTAGCTATCAAAGGATTTTCACCACAACATAAGATCACTAGCTTCGAGGAGGCCAAAGGCTTAGACCGAATTAACGAGAGGATGCCACCTCGCAGAGATGCCATGCCCTCCGACGCCAACCTTAACTCCATCAACAAGGCCCTCGCCTCAGAGACTAACGGCACGGACAGCAATGGCAGTAATAGCAGCAATATACAGTGACCACTTCCTGTTCACTCTTTCCTTTCCTTTTTCCTTTCTCTTTTCTTTCTTTCTTTTTCGAGCTGCAGGGCATGGTGGGATTGCTGCATATTGGCAGTTGTATGTTCTTGCCTCTGAAGAGAGCTTATTTGCTGTGGGGGCCAGGAATTGGATCCAGTTTACACTATCCTTAGAAAAGAGGGAGAGATAGATAATAAACTATATTTTGGTGAGGGTGGTGATTAAACACCTCTTTTGGTATACCTTTTAAAAATGCTTATAAGGAAAAGCAAATTAAAAAAAAAAAAAGAAAGCTAATTAATGCTAGTATATATTGCAATGTTAGGGAATGGACTTGTTTTCCTCCTGCATTGGGGACTCCAAGATAGGGTAATGCAAGGTCTTTCATTATGTTACTGGACACGAAAACTTTGTCTAATTTCTTACTCTATTGTACGTTTACAGTTGCAGCACTAAAAATGGATGACATCAAACATTTTTAACAAAATGATGTACAAACTAAGGACTATTTATTGATAATGTTTTGCTACTCTTGTCAGACAATGGCTATAAAATGAATTAGGCAGTCTTAAAAATAAAAATAAAAAACACACAGAAAAAGAAAAAAAAATGAATGTCGCAAATTTGTTAAAATGCCAAAAAGGACAGTTTAATTTTGTACAGATTATGCTTACCTCAGGTTTCTTTAGTGTGCTTGAATGCCCTTCTTTCAATATGACACCTTATTAATTTCACAATGAATATCTTTTCATTTCTTTTCTTTAAGTTTTAAAGAACTGGAATAATTACATCTATCTTTTTTTTTTTTTTTTTTTTGCTGTTTATATTTAGGGGTTTTGTTGATAAATCAAGTCTTGGTTGTGGCTTGCTGAATTAAATATTTATGAGTGGTGCATTTTTAAGTATAGTGAACAAGATACCATATTAAGTACAGTGATAAAGCATCTATATTCTGTAAAAATAAATCTGCCTATGCATGTTTTTTAAGAAAAAAAAATGGCTGTATCGGCCTGTATGGGACTGTAATGCGCTTAGTTGTCTGACATATACTGGAAATGTATGTATACTGGCGTACTTTATATTCTCTAAAATGCTTAATGCCTTTGAAATTTTGTAATCAAAAAAGCTTTGAAAAATCTAAAAGGGGAGAGTATTCTTAAAAGTTTTTAACATAAGCTTGTCAGTGCACATATAGATGGTTAGCATGTTTAGCAACCTTGTGAAATTTAAATAAGTTTGTAGTTACATGTGAAACTCTAAATGCATGGTAACTGTTAATGTCATAATGATTTAGTTAATTTGTTCTGTTCTGTCATGTGCCACAAACTTTTTTCACTTTTTTCCCTTTGTATATCAGTTACGGGTTACAACTGGTTCATTCTGAAAACAACAACAACAACAAAAGTCCATTCATGTTTTTTAACAATTGTATAAGTGCCCAAGTAATTCACTACAGCCTAAAGCCTTGCCTTTGTAATTTGACTTCTGAAATGTTGGCAATCAAAGCATGCACTTGTAACAATGAAAAAGAAAAAGCATTTTATATTACTACTCAATAAAATGTGCATGAACTTAAAGCACTCTCATCCTTTCCCTGAGTCTGCTGAAGGGATTTCTGTGCACAGCCACCACGCTGTCCTCTAGGTGCTGGGCCCACCACCCTGCAGCTCTCCCAGGCTTCTCTGGGGCCTCGTGATCAAAGGCGTGATGCCTACTTCCGCTGTAAGAACCTTGGTGGATTTCTGTCTCAAATCAGACGAGAGAATTGTATTTAAAGAGTAAATGCCCTCTTCTGGCTCCCTTAAGTGCAGGAGCCAATTAAGAAACCAGATCATTCCTTTTTATTTGACAAACAAAAACAATTTGTTATCAGGTTGTTTCAGTTGTATTGGACGCCCTATCTGCTAAAGCGAAAAGAACTAAGCTAATAAGTGCATTTTCATCACAGAAGAGAGTTGCATTTGTATTGGTAGAAAATTTGTATACCAGCGCTTCAGCTAATATCTAATCACCGGGAGATTTAAGATACACCAAATTTCAGTTTGTTTCTAACATTGTTCATTTTCAGTGCACTTTGTTTTATGTAATAAAGTATGCCTACTATATTAAATAATAAGACTTTGGCAATTAGTGATATAGTATACCAAAACAAAAATGTTCTAGATATATTATCTGATAAAGACTATCTCAAATTTATTTTAATGAATCCAAACTTTTCCCTCCTTGTGGATATTTTTCTGAACTAAAAAAAAATGACATCCAAGGAAAATATTTAGATGCAGTTTATTAGAATGATGTGAAAGGAATGGTAATTCTGGTACCACGTTGTTTGTTTTCTTATATCTGCAGAGAAAATATCCTGACAAAAAAAAATCTTTTTTTTTTTTTGATTCCTTTCTTTTACAAATTGTGCTGAAGCAATTATGGCATAGAAATAAACATTTGACATTAAAATAATCAGTTGATGTGAGTATTGCTTGATCTTTCTGGTCAGTAGTTAAGAAAGTAATTCTATATATTTTTTCAATAATTCCTTTAAAGAAATCAATATAGAAATGAAATAATTTTTCCAAAAGGGATAACACTGCCATGTCATTGGTTATTAGATCTATCTCCTTCACTTTGGGAGAAATTGTTGAATTCTTGAGTTGTTTATGCCAGTGAATCTTTTACTAAGCTCACACACCCACACACACATACACACACTCAAGAAATAACCGCCATGCCTCCCTCTTATACCCTCCCCCAAGGTGACTCACCTCTCAGGGGACTCAATCACAGTGCTGACATTTTTCCTAGCTTTTCAAAGAGTAAGAGCTAGATTTCACTGACCCTAGGTTAGCAATTTTTCTTTTTTAAAATACTAGGAGCCTGATGCACAAGATCTGTACACTTGAGGGGGGCGTCCCTCAGCCCAGCCTACGCCTTCTCACAGTCTAGGAGCCCTTGGGGGATGTCTAACTGCTGCAGAGGCAGGAGAGGCTCCCACCACCACTGCTGCACTGGCCAGAGGGAGCCTGGCTTCTGACTGAGCAGCAGCTCCTGCGTTGACTGTCTGCCCCCTGATGGTCAGTGCATGTCATAGTGACCGGTCATTCTGCTGTTCAGTTGATTTGCATATTAGCCTTTTATTAAATAGGATTCTCTGCTTATGTCATTTTAAAATGCTTATATATATTTCAGAGAGGAAAGAAGAAGAGAGAGAGAGAAAAACATCCATGATGAAAGTGATGAAAGAGAACCATTGATCGGCTATATCCTGCATATCCCCTACTGGGGATCCAGCCAGCAACTCACAACCAGAGCAATTTCCCTGACCAGGAATTGAAACATGACCAACCATTGAGTCACACCAGCCAGGCTTAAACTGTTTTTTGAGTGACAGTGACAAGGGGAGCAGAGTGGAGGGGGAAAGAGCATCTCTGGATGGACAGTTGGACCAGCACGCCTTGGGGCAGCATGTCAAAGTGGGAGCACCTTGAGGTGTCAGCCCAGAAAGGGTTATGGTAAAGTAGAGGCTGCAGCATGAATGACCTGGTCCTGAAGCATGTCTTTCCCTCCCACCCCACCACATCCATGGGAAGTAATACATTTTAGCACACATCCATTTCACTGCCCTCAAACCGAGGCCCCCATAAGGAGGGCCAGTGGGAATGGCCTTACTTAAATGCCTTACACGTTTCCTTGACTACCTTATGTCTCCCACTCACTGCATCCCCCTGCCAAACTCATTTAAGAAGCAGGGACCTCTCTGCCTGTCCAGCCTGGGGGCCTACATTTTCTAAGACTGGAAGCCCCTTGAATTAATAGACATATCTGAGGTCCTCAAACTAAAGATATCTCCTTTCCCCCTTGGCGTGTGGCTTTCCACTTTATTCGCTCCACAAACATGGATCCTCCATGTTCCCTCTCACTGTCCAAGGTTCTTGTTTTTCCACGGGGAGGGGTTTGGGGTGGCGATGAGGAGAGGGAAGACTGGCAATCTTGACAGCATATCAGTTTTCATTATGAGGTAAAATGTCAGCATTCCATCATTATGATGTAAAATGTCAGTGCTCCATCAAACCATGAGTCAGTGTCTGGCTTAACCTGGAGCTGCCTTTTAAGCCCATTTTTACTCTGTTTCATAGGTGTTTCTGTCGTCTATATTTTAAGGCAATGCTCACCAGAAAAAACCCGTGATGAGGCCCTTTCTTTTTATTTTTTAATACATTCTATTGATTCTTCACAGAGAGGAAGAGAGAGGGACAGAGAGCCAGAAACATCAATGAGAGAGAAATATCATCAGCTGCCTCCTGCACACTCCCCACCGGGGCTGTGCCCGCAACCAAGGTACGTGCCCCTGACAGGAATAGAACCTGGGACCCTTCAGTCCTCAGGCCAGTGCTCCATCCACTGAGCCAAACTGGTTTCAGCTGATGAGGCCCTTTCATGATAAATTCATTTATTAAGAAATGGGAGGCAAGAAATAACCAAAGAAATGTACCTCTTTCTGGCCATCACCTTTTCAAGAGGCAGCACAGGCGCATTGGAGTGCCCATCGGGGAATGGAAACACAGCAGAGGGGAGGGCCTGCCCCTAAGGAAGGAGTGCAGAAACGGAAAAGGCGAACAGGAGATGTAATAGCTATCATACCGATTTGGTTATTCCAAACCATCTCGCTTACATCAGAAGGATGCCTGCTTACCATAACATGGAAGCTGCTAGCGAAGGAGCCTGTTGAACAGCAGGGTGTGTACAGGCCCCCCACTGAGTGGACCTGGGAGACAGCACGGCCTGTGGGGCTGCAGGAAGGAGCCTGACCGGACCATAGAAGGGCTGCCTTCAAAGACCAGATTGATGTGACCCTTCAGTTAGCCCTCGGGGAACATAGAACTTTGATTTGCAAACTGTTCTGTAGAAAGGGCTGAGCTTCCTGCACCAACCAAAGCAGCTCTTTTATCTTTTATCTTTTTATTTTTATTTTTTCAAATTGCACTTCCTAGTAGCAGCTGAGAGGAGTCTCCATTAGGTACAGCTCGAAACTGATGAACACAGATGGTTAGCTCAGAACAAAGTTGGCTTAAACTCGAATGCTATGCCATTCTTTTCAAGGTATACTGAGAAATCATTTTATTCCTAACACCGGGGATATCTAGGTTTCTTCCCAATAGCTCCACATTGTCTGTGGGACTAAGTCCAACCTCTTTAAGGTTGCATGGAAGGCCATTCACATCGGACTCCACCGACCTCACCTGCCTCTGCTTGACCCTGAACTTCAGCCAGGCCAGACATGGAACAATGCTCAGCAAACACCAGGTTTCCTTAACCCTCTGGGTCTTTATTTATGTACCTTCCATGTGGAATGACCTCTCCTTGGAACCAAGGTGTTTCCTCCTCTCAAGTGTATAGCGTCCTATTTTAGCACTTAATTCACTGTGTTTGTTTATTTTCTTTGGCACTTCAGTGAGAATCACTCCTTATCTTAGTTTTATCAGCATGGAGCAGCGCCTGGCATGATGACTTCTGGAAGAAGGGAGGCAGGAGAGAAGGAATGCTCTCCAGCATGCTCTCATGCTACGGGTTGCCCCCCGAGACCA